TTACGTAGCTGGGATTCAATGCAATGAAAAATCACCAAAATATGGTCAGCGGTCAATATTAAATTCTCAAAGGAAAACTGGGTTTCTAGGACTAATTATTTGTTTAACTAGTCTTAAAAGTTTAGTATCGGAGCTAATTGATACAGAATATCTTAGCTTCATTTTAACATATAAATTCAGTCAAGACCATATAGAAATGCTATTTTCAGCTATTCGGGCCAAGGGAGGATTTAACAACAACCCTACAGTCTCCCAATTTGAAGCAGCTTACAAAGCTATAATCGTGCATTCAGAAATAAAATCATCATCCAGTGCAAACTATATGGCATTAGACGATATTACAATACTTAGAGTATCTAGTAGCAACATTAAAGTCAAAGATACACAGTCAGAATTATTAGATTTATTGTGTGTTGCTGGGGCAGATGATTTAGAAAACGATAATTTATTGTCTGTTTATCAGCATTTAAACTTTTGGATCGGAAGAATCGCGGTGGAATAATCAAACCTAGTCATGATGTTGTCCAAATATGTAAAATTGCAGAGCGCACCATCAGACATTTTCAGGCAATTGACGAAAACAACGTTATTAATAAAATAACATTGGAAGCCATGAAAAATATTAACATCGAGAAATATTTCACCAATCTCTCTTTACATATACTTGATCAAGAACCACTAAATAATCATGTACTTCAACTAATTAAAATAATTATAAATATTTATTGTAAATTACGTGTACATCATATAAACTCTAGTACTAATGATATAGATAACAAAATACGTACTTATTATACAAAATTAATTTTATTTAAACATCAATAATATTTAATCTTGTACTATAAAATGTAATTATTATTATTATTATTATTATTATTATTATTTTTATTATCTTTTAATTATTATTATTATTATTATTATTTTAATAATATTATTATATTTATTATTATATTTATATAATATAATTTTTTTTTTTTATTTGTGTATTATTTTATAAGTCTGTTATATACCTACCTGTTTTTTTTTTTTTTAAATTTTAATACAAACTGAAAAGTCATCATAGACGTTTATATTTCTGACTTAATTATTCAAAACCTTTCTATGAATGTAGTGTGTTTCCAACAAACAATAATAGTTAAATAATAACTGAAAAGCCACACAAAAAAACCATTTTGTGTTTTAGTACCCTGATATTGAGCCACAAACTAAGTATATATTTTTAAAGTGTATCCGGGGACGAGGCCATAATGTATAACACAAACAAATTTGAATATAATAGTATTACGTTTAGTAACTAATTATTTTTTTCATAGACATATAAAAGGATTATAATATTATGTCTATTTGATTTTTTTTTTCTGATACATATGTATATAATTATTTTTTTAAATAATGTGATACGGATTTTGAAAATTAAAATCTGTTTATTTCCCCTTGTTTGTATTTTTAATTTCATTAATAATATAATTTTTCGAATTACTCACTTATAAAAAAAGATATACATTTGTTTAAAAGCTAAGGCACAATTCCCTGGCGACTACGTTTTTTTTTCCATGAAAAAACCGCACATTGTCTGTCTCTCTCGCACATATATTGGCTTCAGCGTATCAAGGTTTATAGAATATAAAGGTTATCTCATAATCGTATAAACAACTCAAATCCCCCGCAGAGCCTACCGCGTGCGTGACGTCACCGGCCGTACACATTTGTGGCGGCAGCGGGCATGCTATACGCTTTTACACAGTTTAATTGAGTACAGAATCATTTTTTTTTTTCGAGTAAAATTACAGTAAAATCGCCCATTATTAAATATTATAGAGAATAATATTTTTGACTTTTGAGGGTATGCCATATTGCCAATATGATATTGGATTGTTTAAATATTGACTCAAAACAATTTAAACATAATTTAAATGTACATTTTTTTTTCATTTTGAAAGTCAATTAATAATAAAAAATATAATTTGAAACCCTCAAATATAATATTATCCTCTATAATTTTTCTTATAGGTGATTTTACTCAAAACTCATATAAAAACAATGTTTTGGTGAGTGTTTTATTTATTTTAGGTTTTTTACAATACATTTCTCACCATAGGTATTCTTTGACTGGATTTAATAATTTAATAATTAATGAGTTGTCAAATGCCATTGTAGTTTCGACTTTTGGTTCTACTACCTTTTTTGGCTAAATAAAAAAAATTTAAAGATACACAAAATAATTAATAAGATACAAAATACAAAAAAAGAACGTTTATTAATTTTAAAATATAATAAAATAGATTTACAATGAACATTATTAAGTCATAACTTTTTTAAATTTATTTAATTTTATTAATTGAATTTTAGCCTTATTTTTTTTTAATAACGCATTTTGGTTATAATATTTCATACGGATTAGTATTGGCTGTTTAATATATGTTTGTATTGAAGGTTTCCATTTATCTTCAATTTCCATTCTACACAAAATTGTATTTGTTAACTGTTTCACAATGTTTGGCTCTTTATTAATTGTGTTCTTAGTTAATTTGTTAAACAACCTCTCGATTCGAAAAATTATCTTTTTAAATTCAGAGCTGGGTTATATTAACCCACCATATGAAACATGGTTGATCCATGAGGGTATTTCATAATCATGACTGAGTGTATTTATAATATTATTCTTATTCACTTGATGTGTAGTACTGCCAATTCCAGGTATATTGAACCTATGTTTTTTAGCTACCCAGCCAACTAAATATTCAACCGCATCTTTATCCATTTCAACCATATTTTTATCTTCTTTACTTAATTGTGATCCATTTTCACTTGCTGTGTCAGTGTCACAACCAATAATTTCATCTTCACCAATATGTTCATCAACCAATTTAATTTTTACTGATTTCACCGTCTTAGTAACCATGAATTCCTCTTTGTTGCCATCAGTAGTGTTGGAATGATTAGATGTTATTCCAGGATTTTTACCCAAAATAATCATTCTCAATCTATATATAGCGTTTAATGGAGACGGATGATCGTTAAGACCCTCTCTAGTCCGTACTTGAGAATATAAATTTTCAAGAGCATCTTGATTAGTTTTGCTAGTTAGCAAATAGCTTAATCCATTTATTTTAAAACATTCAGGAGATGTCGAGTACCATTAATGTGCATTAAAATGCCTTTTTGAAATATTTGTAGGCAATTTTTTCCTACACATCTCATTTGACTAATAGTTTCATATACTTCATTTAACAGAGAATTCTGTTCTTTCAAAAATGTACCATAAGGAGACTTGAAAGGAGTACTGTTATCATGAGGATGAGCAACATTTTCTAGATCAAACCAATTGTTGATGAGTTCAATAAAGTTTGCAGTGTTATTATTTAATTTGGTATCTTCGATGAGCTGATAACGAGTAAGAGCTGAAGCAGTATTATGGGATAAAAGCTGAGCAGCCAATTTAACATTTTGGCGCTGTGATCCTTCACAAGTTAAATGCATTGGCGTTAATTTATGACAAACATTCACTTCAGTAGTTATCTTACTCATTAATGTTTCTATCGGTTTTTTATTAATTTCATTACCATTTAAATTAAAACCTGTGTCCAAAAACCAATTGCGTATCAATTTCAAAAGGTGAGGTGCATCTGGAACGCATGCTACACTTTGTCCATTAGGTGTATAGAAAATAGGGTTTTCATGATTAACTTCCAATTCTTTCCATAGGCCAACATTACCTCCGCCACAATCGCTCACACAGCAAACTACTTTAAACCCAATTCGATTAAGTCTATCAATTATATCAATTAAAATTTGTTTTGTCATCTTGGTATCAAAATCAACGAAAATGGGCTGCTTCCATAATAGATTTAAGAACGCAATTGAAATATTAGAATTCAAAATAAATATTATTTAAATACTAAAAATCAATAGACATTAATTAAAATATAGACAATTGTTATATTATATAATAACTAACCTGCATTTGATTGTGAGGACCAATTACTTGATCGTGCAAAACATCATATTCCATAGTATATGAAACTTTTACTTCATCGAACATTAGTAGCGTTAATTTTTCATAATCTTCTAAAGTTTCACCATTCAGTTTCATAATTTGTAGCACATCATGTAGTACACCATTTCTCATGTCAATGGTTTTAGCCCACCGGGGAAGACATGACAAGCCTATAACATAAATACTTTGACTAAAAAAATTATACAAAATAATAAATATGTTGTTTTTTTTACCAGGAAGAGGATAATGTAATTCATCCTTTACATAACTATAGGCTCTTTTACTAAAGTATCTAATCGTAAATGCTTTGGAAACTTCTTCCCTAGACCAACGTACTCTTTTATTTTTCTTAAGAATAAGATCCATCTGATTTTGAGTGAGTACAGATGAAACTAATTTTCTAGCTTTATTCTCAACAGTCTTGGTGTGGTCTAGAGATTGAATTTTAATTGCTTTCATGTTTTTTTGGTTTTCTTTTAATAATGTATTTGTTGTATTTAAATTTTTTTGCAAAATGTTCATGTTGAATCTAAGATTTTCATTGATTTTTTTGTAGTCTACTTCAGGTTGATTCAGTTGATTCTGTTCAGAAAATTTTGTTTTTAAAGCTTCATGTTCTTGTAGAAGACTATTATACAACTGCTCATAGTCCAAAATATTAGCTGCAGTACAACTATTACAATCCACATCTACATTTGATTCATTTTGTTGTATTGTTGAAGATATGAGCTGGTCATGAGCCTAGAAACATAAATAGCATTGTATTATTGTGACAGGAAACATAATATTATAAAACATTAGGTAGATAAATATGTAATAATATTAAATATTTTAATGATTTTTGTTTTATAGACAATAGATTACATAAACTAGACCTAACCTAATAAGTAAATACTTTAAAGTATAAATCTACTAGAAATTTAAGGTACTTATTGTTTTATCTACTATGTACAAAATATATCTACCATAGTTAGACAAAGAAATAAGTAGATTTACCTGTTTCTTATCTTTTACATTCATTCGATTTCGACGGTTTAACGAAGACTCGGATAGAGGATTTTTGTGAATGGTCCAGAGGTAGGTTTAATGAAGGTAAAACATTGTTTTTTAAGTATTGTTTTTTTGGTTCATATTCCAACAGTTCCGCTTTCAAATCTCGTACAAAATCATTGTTTGTAAAATGATCAGAACAAATGTATGCTGTTTTAGAGTTCCAAACATCACCTCGCCTACATAAATGTTGCCACTTCTTTGCCAGAATATCATCTTTAGGAAACCTTTAAATTAATATACCTAACCTTCAGTGGCGGCCTGGGTTCATTTTTTTTGGTCGGCTGGAATTTAAAAAGGCCCTGACCAATAAGACTAATAGAAAATTTGCAAATGCAAATGGCTATGATACTTTTTACAGTTTTACATTTTTAAAGATACCTAATCATTTTGAAGTTCTACTTCCCCCACCTCTTCCAAAAAAATGTATATGTAACTATTTTTGTAAGTACCTTATTTAAGTTTCAATTAACTTTACCCCTTTGGTATTATAAAAACAAATAACAAAATATCTATAATGTTACCTATTCAACATTGCTGTTGATGCATATTAATAATATAATATAATATTAATAATATTAATAGGTATTTGTATTATTTTCATTACTTACCGCTAGGTATAGCTCTTGCCTGTTGCATGAAGTCTACTAGTCTACATACCGAATACTTCATATTATAATATATGAGGATCTGGTTAATATTATTCATATTAATTGTGTGTGCTAAACAACTTTTTAGTGTCTACCACCGCATTATTATATAATATTTAATATTCAAATCAATAATACAGAATATTCAATGTTTTAATAAATTTTAATAAATGATCAGATAAGTCCCAGTCTGTAAATAATTGTAAATGTTTAATATCATTATCAACTAGTTAAAATAAAATTTTATTCATTTAAACTGTATTCATTATTTTTAAAATAACACAATACGACTATCTAACACGATTTAAGATAATATCTACAAACTTAGTTATTTATGATTATTTAAAATAATATAATCTCAATCGGGTAATGGCTGTATGGGCCCATTTAGCCGAGGGCCCAGTCGGCGATCGCCGACTCGCTGACCTGGCCAGGCCGCCACTGCTAACCTTAATGAGTTATTTAAAAATGTATATATTGCATAAATTCTTATGTAAGTATATTATGTAATATTATATAATATAATTATATTTTATGTAAATATTCTTATGTGTTCTTATGTAGATTTGTACTATACCTATGAAATGACAAATCTTTTCTACCGCTGGTTTTAACCTTTCCGGAATAATTTGTGCATGTAGCAACCGCGCATGATGAACCTCCTCTTGGTTTGTTATTTGCCATTGTATAACTTAACAAATCGCAGAACAATAAATATTTAACAAGATTAATAAAAACAACTTTTAAATAAAAGTAATTTTACATAAACACATAATGCCGTATACTCATGGCATGTAAACAAAATTAAGTGTACGGCGGGTGACGTCACGGTCTGTTATTCCCCCAATACTAAAATTTGACATTATCGGGTTGAGACAACCTTTATATTCTACAAACCTTGTCAACGTATTACATGTATACTCCGCGCCACGAGAGAAGGAACCCGTGTCCCAACCAAATAGCAACCGACTCCGCGCATCCCCACTTATTTGAAATATCGTCGTTGCTCGATCACAATCGTTAACGGTCGGGAACGCTGTATAGTATGTATCATTTGTTATTCCGTGCACTTGACACAGTCTGTCAATACGTTTGTGTCACTCAGTGTTGCCAGGTGTGGCGATTTATCGCCAAAGTGGCGATTTTGAATGATTGTTTGGCGGAGATATTTGACTTTTGGCGGGTGGCGGAAAAGTTGGCGATTTTCGATTCGAAGTGTGAGATTAATGGCGACTTACTACTATACTACTATAATCAATGGTAATAGTGGTAATACTTATCACAATATCAGAAAATTGATGATAGGCATGTTTTTATCACATTAATTTTGTTTAAATAAGTTATAAAATATATTATCAGATTTATTGTTGCCTTCTCAACATTTTAAATAGTTATTTTTAAACAATTACAATGATTATCAAGGGAAAACCTAGTCTAAGATATGTTGCATATACATATCTGCTACATACACATACACGTACGAAGTACGTAAAAAAAAAATCACGCATTGAAGCCATTGAAGGTTTATACTTTAAGCGTGTCAGCACTCAGCCCGCAGCCGTCAGCTTTTACCTGAAGATTGAAAAATGGGTAAAATTGAAAAACTCAGAAAGTATAGAAAATCATGGGAAAATGAATTATGGGCTAAAGGTATGTGTTAATATTTTTAAAACATAATATAATCGGTCAAAACTCAAAATGGACTTTTTGTCTCCACTGTTTCCAGAATTTTCGTCCTGGATTCAATATAACCAGATCAAAATTAATTTGTATAATTTTCTTAATTTTTAAGGTTGGTTAGCACCAGCTGATTCAACTGCGAACACAGTTGCAGAAGCTTATTGTAAAGTATGCCGTTCGTTTTTGAGAGCACTTGTAACCGATTTGAAAAGGCATGCAAAAACAAAAATCCACAGTGATAACATGGTCCAGTTGAATCCAATGAAAAAAGATCAGTCTGTATTAAGTAACATTGTTAAAATATCTAACGAACAAAAAATTATAGATTTGAAATTAGCTGTCTATGTAAGTACACACACTTCAATTATGAGTGTCGATCATTTGGGTGAAATATTGAAAGTGCTTGGCAAAGGTACTGCATTAGCCAATTTAAAACTTCATCGAACTAAATGTTCTTCATTGATTCAAAATGTAATCGCACCAACCTTACTTGAGGAACTTGTGCAAGATATTGGCACAAATTATTACTCATTGATTATCGATGAATCCACTGATGTTTCCGTATTCAAATACTTGTGCCTATGTATTAAATATTTTAGCTCTAAAACTGAATCTATAATTATTAAATATTTAGGCATTATAGAAGTTGTGAATTGTTCAGCTGATTCACTGTATGACTGTATATGTAATTACATGCAGGTGATAGGTTTAAATTTATCAAAGTTGATTGGCATAGGTACTGATGGTGCAAACAACTTATGCGGAAAATATCATTCTCTTTTTACCAATTTAAAACAAAAAAGTCCAAACTTGCAAATCGTAAGATGTATTTGTCATTCTTTGAACAATGCAGTTTCAAAAGCATCAGAAAGCTTTCCTAGTACTATTGATTACCTTTGCAGAGAAGTGTATAACTGGTTCCATATAAGTCCAAAAAGAAGGGATGAGTATAAACAAATGTTTGATCTTCTTAACTCTGGCTTGAATAAAAAGTTCCATAATTTTCACCAGATATCTGGCACACGGTGGCTAGCACGCAGTTTTGTCGTTAACACCATTCTAGAACACTGGCTAGAGCTTAAAACTCATTTTTCTCTTATGGTGAAAAAGGAAAAATGTTACGCTTCACGAATTATACATGAAATGCTACATGATGACACTAATTACCTTTATCTTATCATCATAAAACCCATTTTACAAGAATTAAATTCCTTAAATTTAACTTTTCAAAAGAATTTTGTGGATCTTGGAAGGTCCTATGATGATATTTGTTGTTTATTTATATTTTTGGCAAAGAAAATTATAAAAGAATCTGTAGTGTCAAAAGGATTTGAATATATATATAACAATATTAATAATGATTCTGTATACCGACATTCGAGCAATTGTGATTATGGAGTGGGGTATAACCAGTCAATAATTAATATAAATTTATCTCAAGAAAAGAAGTCTAATGTACAGACACAAGCTTTTAATTTTATTAAACAATTACTGTATGAAATAAAAAAGAGATTGCCCGACAACATTGAATTTTTCAAGAAAATGAAATTATTTTCGCCCACTTTGTGTTTATGCCAATTGCATGTAAATTTTATTGATTTACCTTTTGTTAATTTATTTTTAAAACCTTCAGAGATTGTATTGATAGAAACACAATGGGAAAAATTAACAACAGTAACTTGGAAAATGTACTTAAATGAAAAACAGTTAAACGATGCCAACTTATTTTGGCCAAAAGTTTACAATTACAAAGATGCGGGTGGTAATTTTGCATTTAGGGAATTGTCAGAATTCGTTCTAAAAGGTCTCTCATTGCCTTCAAGCAATGCTGTGGTGGAGCGAGTATTCTCTATAATGAATACAGTAAAAACAAAATCCAGAAATCGTATAAATGCAAATATGTTGGATGCTTTATTAAGAATAAAAACTACATTTATTTCTACGAAAACATGTTGTACAGAATTTGTACCACCTAAATCAATGTATGACAAGTTTAATTCAGAAATGTATAACAAAAAAAATGATGTGAACACTATAATTAATAATGTTGAATCATTAGACAATGATTTTAACGATGAATTAATTAATATAGTAAACGAAATAAGTTTACCTGATTTTTATTAAACTTGTGTTATAACTATAATGCTATATGTATCAATACTATTAAAACTGCTAAATAATAATTTGTATTTACTTTTTTGTTATAATATAAAATATAAGATGTTGTTTTATAAAAAATGTATACATTGGTCGAAAGGACTTATAATTTTTTTTTTTTGAATGTTAAGTTTATAAAATATAATGTTATTATGTGTTATAACTTATAACTATAATGCTGTATCAATACTATTAAAACTGCTAAATAATAATTTGTGTTTACTTTTTTGTTATAATATAAAATATAAGATGTTGTTTTATAAAAAATGTATACATTGGTCGAAAGGACTTATAATTTTTTTTTTTTGAATGTTAAGTTTATAAAATATAATGTTATTATGTGTTATAACTTATAACTATAATGCTGTATCAATACTATTAAAACTGCTAAATAATAATTTGTATTTACTTTTTTGTTATAATATAAAATATAAGATGTTGTTTTATAAAACATGTATACATTGGGCAAAAGAACTTATAATTTATACTGTTTATACTGTTATCATTTTATTAATAAAGTTTTGTTTTTTTTTCAATCATAATTTGTTTAGTTTGGTTCCGTTTAAATAGTTATAATTTTATCTTTATTAATAAAGTAACAAACTGACAAAAATGCCAAATGGTGTTGGCCAAATCCAATAAAGTGACGTCGAAAAAAATTTTTTTTTGAAATTTTGGCGATAGATGGCGATAATTTTTAAAGCTTAATTTTGGCGGTAGATGGCGTTATTGGAAAAGTAAATTGGCGATTTCCTTATCAATAATTCTGGCAACACTGGTGTCACTACGTTTATGCGATTACTTTCACTCCGTTGACTGTTTAATTTTTTTACTACCGTTATTATACCGTTTTTTTAAAATGAATACTTCAAACGAATTGCCATCAACCAATCATCCTACCACATCTGCTGAGCCAAACGTCGACTTTAAAAAAATATCTTCACCCATTAAAAAAAATGAAAAAGGACGGGTAAGAATTTTTTAATTATGATAATTATAATAATTATAATTTTATATATTTTATTCTTAATAATTAATACTTTATTCGTAGAAAAACCTACTTATGTTTATGTGTTACTTTATTCGTAAATTCTAAATTATGAACGAATCAAATAATTTTCATCTTTGAACGTCGTATAGTTTTAAAATAATTTAATAATTATTGTTTCAGTTTGTTGGAAAACGGCAAAAATTGATGATTGTCAATCTGTACAAGCCGAAAAAGCAACAACAGCCGGGCATGAAATACAAAGAACTGATGGCGTCTATTTCAGCTGATTCTGGGATTGGAATGCGTAAAGTTATTCAGACAATAAGTGAGTACAAAAACACGGGTGAATGCAAGTCACCAAATAAAACCAAAATCCGTCCTACAATTATTGATAAAATTGACGATTTCAACAAAAATGCGATTCGACAAAAAATTCACGGGTTTTGGTTCAGAAATGAAATTCCCTCAATCAAAAAAATTGTTCAAGCCATAAATGACGATCCAGATCTTCCGAATTTGCCTTCTACTTCTTTGCGTCGAGTATTAAAAGAATTAAATTTTTAATTTACAAAAAGAAACCGCAATAGCGCTTTAACTGAAAGGGCAGATCTTGTGGTGTGGCGACAAAAGTATATCGAGGACATAAGGCGTTATCGGGATGAAGGTTGTACAATATATTTTCTAGACGAGACATGGGTAAACGCAGGCGAGTGTAGCAGTAAAGTATGGATTGATACTTCTGTGAAATCGCATACTGATGCATTCCTGAAAGGACTGACAACAGGCCCAAAAAACCCGACAGGTAAAGGCAAGCGGTTAATAGTTGTCCATATTGGTTCAGCAGATGTTTTCATCGAGGGGGGTCTATTGTGTTTTGAGTCGAAAAAGAACACAGCAGACTACCACGACGAAATGAACGGGGACACAGTTTACGACTGGTTTTGTGGAGTTTTGCCCCGATTGAAGGACAATTGCGTGATAGTAATGGATAATGTTCTTACCATTCTGTCAAAAAAGACCCGGTACCCACAACTACATGGAAAAAAGAGGACATTCAAAATTGGTTGAAGTTGAAAGGTGTGGTTTTAGACAAACCAATGATAAAATTTCGATTACTTGACATGGTAAATGAAATTAGGCCTCGCCATGATAAATATGTAATCGACGAAGAAGCCTTGAAAGTAAATAAACTTGTATTGCGTTTGCCACCTTACCACTGCGAACTTAACCCGATTGAACTTGCGTGGTCTGTTGTGAAAAATCAAGTCAAGCAAAATAACACATCGTTTAAGTTAAACGATGTTCGAATACTACTGAACGAAGGAGTTAAGAAAGTGACGTCTGAAATGTGGGCCAATTTCGTTAGTCACACCATAAAAGAAGAGGACAAATTGTATGACATCGATATAATTTCTGACAGAATGATGAATGATGAGGATCATATAATGACAATCACTGGTGACACTTCGTCTGATTTTTCTGACGAGTAATATTTTTTGTATTTAATTGTAAAATATATTGTGTATGTAATATGTGTATTTTTAGTTTTGTATATAATTGTAAAATATATGGTGTATATATGTACATATTTGGTTTTGTATATAACTGTAGAATATATTGTGTATATATGTACATTTTTGGTTTTGTATGTAACTGTAGAATATTTTATTAGTTCAGAGTTGTATAATATACTTAAAGTAGTTTTGAATATTTCGAAGGACGATATTATTATAATTTTATTTTGTTTCGTATTATTTGTTTACTTTATTTTTGTTAGACACCTACAATATAATTACGTACAATTAAAAAAAAATTTTAATTCAACAATTGTTTTTTATAGATCAAAATACTTAAAAAAAATCGATTAAAATTAAGTTGTTGGTGTATATGCACCAAACATATGAGTAAAAAAAATTGTAAATCAAACGAAATTGATAAATATGTGATAGGAAATAAATGATTTGTTCTGCACGTGACATACGATATTACAAATTATAATGTAATATAATCACTCTGTATATCGCATATTTCACGCTGTATGCACGCCACAGCGCGAACTGTAGAGGACAAAGTGGGGGAAACGGAGCCTAGTAACGCTAGCTGCCGTCAGTCTGCATGCGCGAAACGGGTTCCTTCTCTCGTGGCGCGGAGTATAGAACGGCTATCATTCCTGAACTATTCTATTATACGTCTATGGCTACGACGCCTGTACTTTGTACTCATAGATAACATATACTGTACTGTACTGTTCGTCGGTTGAGTACCGTATCACCATGAAATAAAAACAATATTATTATTATAAAAATTAAACTTCGTTGAATGAAATGAATTTCTTATTTGATGTATATAATTCAATTGTATCTAGTGTTATTGTTAGAACTGGTCCTATATCTGCTTTGATTATATATTATATATATACTTTGATCGGGTCATAAAAATCTATATGCAAATTGTAGTTGTTGTTTGCTAATGTTAATGTAATATTTTTTTATTTTTTTTTTTGATGAATTGAATGTGCCGTTTTCTTTAGTTCTTTATGTTTAGCTTCAATGCGCATTGACCAAAAAAAGGATAGAGTACCAGAGTTTTTTATAATTAACGGATAATGTACCATATGGTGGTGTTAAGGTTTCAAAGTATTTTGGAATAATTTTTTATATAATTCATGGTGTTCAGAAATAATTGATTGCAATAAAATTCCATCCTGCTTTTGTATCCATTTGCAAAAAATAATGTCAAGGATTTGTTTTAATAGAATATATAAATTCCAAAGTTCAGATTCTTCCGGCACCAAATCTCCTATTATCAACCCGAGGTATTTTGTAAGACATAACATTTCAGAAGTCGACATTTTGAGGCACCCTTCTCGTTTCAAACTTGTATCTGTAATTAGTGTTGGCCTACTTCTAATGTCTACTGGTCCATAATTAAAGGACTCTATTCTGTTATTTAATGTATCAAGAGAAAAATACTTGAGATTATAAATCATTTCTTTCAGTATAAGACCTATATCATATTTGCATACCCCTCCTACCATACCATGCATTATATCCACACTTTAGTCGGTAGTTACCAATGTTGTGCATTATCTAGATAAAATATAATTATCTTTTTATCTTATCTAGATAAAAAATATTTTAAGCATCTTTTTATCTTATCTAGATAAATAATTCTAAAATATATAATACCTAATAAATCTAGGTCAATAATTTAGAAATTCAAATTTTTAAATCCCGAATATTCACTGCGTTTCGTAATAATAATAATAATAATAAATATTATGATAATAACAGACTATAGACTGTGGTGTACGTGAGTACGAACATTGGCCAGATAAAATGTGGCGTAGTCGACATTGCGGGAAAAAACATTTTCAGCTAAAAATAGTTTATGCGTTAACGTCTACGGACCCAATCACTCAATTGTGTTATAATATAGATATGTAATACTGCTATACCATTTACTAGTTAAGTACAGAGCATTTTTTGTAACTCTTGTTGTAATAACTCTGATGTATCTTTGGGGGATTCTAAAAGTGGAATATCAGATATAGCATTATTATCTGAATCTTGTATATTTGGTGCATCTAATGGTACAATTAATTGATTAGTACTTAAATATTACAATCATCAATATTTTGGCCATTTTGAAACATGATAATTACAGGTATCATTATGATTGGGAGTTAAAATTTGGGTTTTTAAATGCTTTTTAAAAGAATATAATGTACTAAAACTGCGAAGACAATTATTTGTTTTACAGACAAATTCCTTTATTTCATTTATATCACGATAAATACCAAGATGAATGATTAAATAATTAATACAATTAAACTTTAAATTGCATAAGAAACAATTAAACATATTGTGTGCTGTTTAAAATACAATTTAGTTTATAGAATGATAGGTTGTGGGAATTGTAAATCCTTGCACAAACTTTGAACAGATAAATATTTTTTTTTTTTAGGGTTTAGTATTTCAAAATAATACTGCTCAAAAAAAGAATTCCATATTTGTTCAGCTTCGGGAGGGTATTCTAGGTTTAAAACATGGTATAATTCAAAACATAAATCTACGGCCTTAACTGCTGTTTCCAACTGGTACTGAGTGTTGTTAATTAGTGTATAATAGTACCTATGTAGAATCTTGGCCATCAACATCTACCACTATTATCACATACAGCTGAACAGTGGGACCACAAGTTAAAGCTTTGTTCGCTTTTTGTTTATATACGATCTTTAGTCCATTGGCATTCTATGTAATATTAAAATGGTTACAAATTAATATAGAGTAATTTATCAAAAATGAATTTGAAATATTTGTAGGAATGTTCACGATGAAAGCATTGGATTGTTCTATTTTGGATGGTCTTATCACTTTTTTGTTTTTTAAAACAATATTGACTGGTGTAAATAGAAAAGGTATTAGTTTGAGTGCAGCCAAATCATGATCATCTTACATAAATTGTTAAAAAATTAAGAATGTTTAAATAAGTGGTTGGTTATGCCTAGGCCCAGAAATTATTGTATTTACAAATCTAAAAAAAAATCAAAATGATGGGCAATTATATAAAAAAAAGGATAACGTATTATTATTGTGAAAAATGTGCTTTTGCAACGGCATCAGTGGACTGTATATTGAGAAATAATGACAAGTGAAAAAACGTACTTGTACAAAAAGAAAAATGTGAACATAACCTGAAAAACAACAGGTACAATAAATTACATTTCAGAGGCGTATCACAGTACAACCGCGGTTCTACCTAACTTGGTGATAAAGATATAAATTATAACACTTAACATACCATAAAATAAAATGAGATTAACAATTAATTAACACTGTCCGCCTTGAGCGTCAGTCTCAAAAAAAAAAGGTAACTAAGATTTATTGATGTTCAATGGGTAACTTAAGAAGTTTAGTGATGGGTCTCTTGTAAGTGGAGTTGGCTGTTAGGGTGGTGACGATTCGCACCAGGTCGTACTTGGATGTATGGCGATGACTCTGGCCAAGGGCCATTGCAAGGATGAGGTGTAGTCATCCTTCACAGCGGCAAGATCCTGATGTAGACAACGGCGCACAGTGGTCTGTATTGTAAATTAGCTTACATTAATTAATACCTTCTTAATATGAGTTAAAAAAATTATGTTAAATATCAATTCTAATAGTTTTTAACATGCTGAATCCAAATTTCTTATCAGTTCTTAAATCAGCTTTAATCTAGCCTAATTAGGGGTAAAAATAGATACTTTCCTAAATTTTCATAAAACTTGTATATTGAACATCAATTAATTTACATGTTCTAAGGGTGTATCCAAATATAATATTCATTCTTAATCAACCCCTAGTTATGGGTAATAGGGGATGTTATTAATTTTTAAAATTAAATTAAATACATTTATCAATATTTAACATTGTAAGTAATATAACTATAAAAAACTACGTTAACAATATATTATAGTAACGTCACTATCACATAATGTCACTATCACTATCACAATCACTGTTCAAATTTGTTTTGTCTAACTGCATTACATTCAATAACGATTTGGTTTCATTTGATAAGTCTTGTAATATTTCTTTTGGAAGTAATCGTATGGTCGATATTAAAGGGTCAGATGATATCAATAACACATGTAAGAGGTCTTCGTTAGTGTTTATTCTTGAATTTTTTCTTGTGTGGTGTCTTCTGTACATTTTTTGCTTCATTGGCAGTATATTTAATAATTTTATTATGATCTACGTTGGTAATTGCATTTTTAATTTTAGTAGCTCTTGTTGGTGATGCCAAAGAATCATTTAGAAGTAAAGCAGCACTTCTCTTTCCCGACTTTTGAAATTTGATTGATAATGCCAACACTAATTCCGGCGAAGAATATGATTTAACAATAGGTAGTACTTTTTGTCTTTTAGTTCTTTCAGAACATTCCGAAAATTCTTTTGACGGACGACCTGTTTGATTTTTATCATTATATTTTGTACATACATTATTTACAGGTAAGTTAAATATTGTTTTTAGCCATGCACTGTTATTTTTATTAAAAATGTGAATATTTCTATTACATTGTATCCATTTTCGTGATAAAACTATTGTATAACTATTTAAGCCAGCATTTATTTTATTTGTGTACTCCAGCATCCAATTTTTCCCATCATACTTCTCACATAACTTTTTAAACAAAAATTCTCTAGACTGTTTGGACTGGTGATTTAGTGGTCCGTTTCCTCGTAATCAATTAAATAAATCATTGTAAGTGAAATTCTGATTTCCCAAATCACGACTACAACTCGCTAAAATAAAATAATTAAAAATAAAATATTATTATTGAAACGGCTTTTTTTCCTAAATTTTCTAACAAGATATTACACAAGATATTACACATTTGAAAAAATTATGCCAAGGGTTAACCCTTTGTCGACCGACGGTACTTATAAGTCCACCGAAATAAAACGTGTATGAAATATCATAAAACGTTATTTTAGTGTTTCTAATGGGTCGGTACTCACGAGTACCATCTACCGATTACATAAATATTATTTTAAAAGCGGTCGTACTATTATTAAACATTTTATCGGCGATTAATTTCGGGAACTGCAGCATTCAACATATACACATGACTTGGTATTTTTCCTTTCTATTTATATGTACATATATTATCATTTTATCATAAGAAATATTTTGTTTATGTTTAGATATATGTCTAGATGGATTATCTGTTTCTGTTATTGCGATTTCATTATCGATATAATGAAATATTTATAAATAAGAATATGGACTTGTAAGTACCATTGGTCTTTCACGGCGGTGACATTAGTCAGTTGTCGACTAGTAATCGTCGCCGTCGTACGTAAATGTTTGATTACTGCCGACGTATCTGTGAAATCGTTTTTTTTTTACGTACCATACACATTTTTGTGTTAAAATTCAGAATTATATAACCATAGGTAATAATATTATTTTAAAATGACAAATAATAACGATGATTTGTTACTTCAGTGGTTAAATGAAGAGATTCCGTTAGATAATAATGAGATTACCGACGAAGAATTATCAGATGACGAAGACAATATTACGAAAGGTAAAGATTTTTTTTCTGTGATCGATAATAATCCATCTGAAGAAAATATAGTGACAAATGAATTAGAAATTGAAAATGAAGATAGTTTTGAATTTATTCTGGATAATACTGATATTAATTTTTCAAATATAATTGAGCCAGTAGAACCTGTAGTGATAGCTGTGCCGACTTCTACTCAAATTGTCAATCTCCACGACACTTCTGGCCCTTCTAATAATATCAAATCTCCGCCTTCCAAAAAGCTTAAAAACACTTCAAAAAAAAAAAAGAAGATATCTCACAAATTCGCCGTAAATGGAAAAAGATAACTGTCAAAACATTAGAACCCGATTATTCACTTCCCGATGGACCCGTTGATGGCAAATTCAAGGGGGAAACTGCTACGTCAATATTTTTGGAATTTATCGATGGTTTTATTGATCAACTTGTGTATCAAACAAATTTATATAGTATTCAAAGAGGACGTCCTTTGAATGTAAAACGTTTTGAAATTCTGAACTTCATAGGTATAAATTTTTTAATGGGTTACAACAAACTGCCAAGTTGGAAACATTATTGGGCAACATCTGATGATTTAAATGTTCCCTGTGTGTCAAATACAATGAGCCGTAATCGATTTGATAATATTTTATCAAATCTTCATGTTCAAGACAACTCATTGATCCCAACAAATAATAAAGATAAACTGTTAAAACTTAGGCCTTTGATAAATTACTGTAATGAAATATTTTCTACATCTTACCATGGAACGAGAGAACTAAGTATTGATGAATCGATGATTATTTTTAAAGGTCGTAACTGTATGAAACAATATAATCCTCAAAAACCTATCAAACGCGGATATAAAATATGGTGTTTATCTGACCAAAGGGGATATATAAAAAACTTTAGTATTTATCAAGGCAAAGATGAGCAATTATCTGATGAATTTGAGTCATTTGGTTTGGGTGAGCGTGTTGTATTGAATTTGACGAAAAACGAGTGGAATAAAAATAAAAAATTTTTTTTCGACAATTATTTTACTTCATTGCCATTGCTAGAAAAATTAAAAGCAGAAAATTCACTAGCATGTGGAACAATCCGATCAAACCGTAAAGATGTCCCGGAATTATCTGAAGATAAAAAAGCGCCTAGAGGTTCATCAGATTATCGCATTACCAACACTGGTATTGGTGTTTACAAATGGAAAGATACCAAGTATGTTATGTTAGCATCAAATTATCATGGTTCAGAAATAACAACTGTTACAAGAAAGGATAATTGTGGTCGAAAAAAAGATATTCTATGTCCACAAGTTGTTCTTGATTATAATTGTTATATGGGTGGTGTAGATCATGCTGATCAACTTAGAACAACTTACGGTGTTAACAGAAAATCAAAAAAGTGGTGGCACCGAATATTTTGGGGTTTATTAGACATTATGTTTGTAAATTCGTATGTGGTATACAAGCAAATACATGGAAGTATTACTTTATTGGATTTTCGTCGTTCAGTCACACAAGGACTTTTGACTTTACGAGAACTTCCTAAATCAAATAAAAGACAGTCAACTTCAACACCAAAAAATAAAGGTCCGGCAACAAAGAAGAGGAGAGGAAAAGAATGGTCAGTGTCAAAAGATGTGCGTTTAACCAATCGAGGAATTCATTGGCCAAAATTTGTTAGTAATCGAGGACGTTGTGAAGTTCACTAACTAAACGGAACTCAATCAAGACCATATTCAAAATGCTCTCATTGCAATGTATTTTTATGCTGTAACGATAAAAAAAATTGTTTTGCGGACTATCATGATATAGATTGTTCATAACTAGTATAACTCATATGCATAAAAAATTATTATACCTAATGTGTTCATAAGCATAATGTAAAATAACTACTTTTTTTTTTTAATTATAATATTTTTATTTGACTGATAAGGAGATATGATTTTCTTTTTATTTAACCAGCATATAAATCGACACCTATTAATTTCCATGATAAAAAAGTTTTTGGTAACAAAATAATTCATATGGTATTGACCTAATAATATAACATTTTTTAGACTAAAATACTTAATTTACACTTAGGAGCTATTGAGGTTTTTAATTTATATGTAAATATTCTAAAAAAAACTTTTACGCTTATTTTTACTAAGAGTAATATTTTTAGAAATAAGAGAAGAACATTTTTTTTTTCTAAAGTCGTAAATAAATTTTGGTATATTCCTCATGTTAAAAATTATATGGCAAAATTACTGTTGGTACTTTGAATACCATTAAAAAAAAAGCCTAGATGACCGACGGTACTTCCAAGTACCATGATCCTAACTCAAATTTGATTAAAAAAAAAAAAAAAAATCAAAAAAAAATGTCTTATATAGGTCAAATATAACATGTTTATGCAAAAAAAACTTTAAAAAATATTTTAATTCGATGCTTGGTCAACAAAGGGTTAATACGCAAGTATATGCAAAAAAATTATATTAGGTTAAACACCCAAGAGTATGTAGAATATTATAGAATAGTTTTGTAACAGTAATAATTAGTAATTTATTAGTGATACCTTTTTAAGTTCTAATAATAACAATTAACCATAATAAATAAAACATCGTTGTATCAACTACATCATAAAAAACATAAAAATAATATTATTAATACACTTACCTTCTGCAAAAATGTCCATACTTCAGGTTTCAAAAAGAAAAATTATATCTTAAGTACATGCACACCACACAGATCGCTAAACGTGAAAGACAGAATAATGCGTGGTATGGCCTCGTTGACCGACATTGCTGTTCCCTAATCGTAATTTTATTGGCTTCATAAGATATAACAGTTTCTCATAATATGAAATATTGTTCAATTAGGTTATCAGTTTTAATAATTTGATATCAAATAATACAATAAACGTACTTTTAAAAATAGGTTTTGGCAAGCTAATTTACAATACAGACCACTGTGCGGCGGGGTAAGCAAGCTCGGAGCTGTCACAAAACCCGTGCAAGGTGTATGAGATGACCGGCAGCGATGAGCGGTTGATCTAGCGTAGTATGTCAAATGTGTCTAAGTGGGTATGAAAGACGGTTTGCAGTCCACATGGATGTCAAGTCTCCCGAAACGTTTTCTTTCCACAGCCTTTGTAGTATCAGTTTAGACACGACCACCAAGGGATCTAACCATCCACAAGGGTCATAAACACGTGCTATCTCACCTAGGAGTTGTCTTTTCGTAAGCTGTTTTACTGTCTCGGTTGCATGTGTTTGAATGAAAAACTTATCCTTTGTCGCATTGTATGGCACGCCCAAAAGCTTAATGTCCATCTCCAGGTGGTCCTGCAACGGCAAACGCGTGACACAGTGTTCAGCTGGAACTGCCTGTAACACTGAAGTACAATTACTAGACCACTTCCTTAAGGAGAGTCCACCTTGTTTTAATGGACTTATGAGTTCTCGCTGTAGCTCGACCAACTTGTCGGCAGAATCACGTCCAGTCATGATCTCGTCCACATAAAGGTATTGTTGAATAGGATCCGATGGATCAGCACGCCATAAAATACATTGATATTTCCTGTCAACCGGTCACTAGAATTTGTCGGAACATCTGTTTAATATCGGTGCTAAAGACGAATCGTGAAAATCGAAAGTTGATTATGACACTTAAAATTTTACGTTGTAAATTCTGACCTTTGTATAGACGGTCGTTAAGTGACTGAACTGTGTTCATAACGCTAGACCCGTCAAAGACAACCCGTAACTTGGTCGTGGTGCTGGATGGTCAACAGATATGATGATGTGTTATGAAGCACTTTCTAGCTCACAATCATCGCAATTTAATAGTCTCAAAGCAGAAGTTTTGAAAATCTCTGAGCAGATGAGTGAACTCAAAAATGAAAATTCAATATTAAAAGAGGAAATTGGTACGTTAAAGTGGAAAATTAATAGCCTTGAAGAAAAAAGCCCCTCAACTAATCTATCTGTAATTACTAACCTGGTTTTACAAGAACTTTTTGAACGTGACCGCTGTTCCTCCAACGTGATTGCTCATGGTGTGTCAGAGTCCACATCTTTTTTGGTAGCCGAACGAACTGCATATGATAAATCCACAATTTCTAATATTTGACTGCCTCTTGGAGACTTTCTTCCGTTGAATCTCAAATTCATAAGGATTGGAAAACCACGTCCAAATAGTACTCGTCCATTGAAGCTAGTTTGTGCTAGCAAAGAGGAAGCAAAATCCTTGATATACCAGTACAATGAACTTAAGCGGTCAGGTACTCAATTTCAAAATTGTTTCAATCTTGTCGAGGATAAGACTCAACTTGAAAGACAACAATTGCGCTCTTGTCACGAAGAAATGGTGGCGCGTGCTGCAAGGGGAGAATTGAATCTGCGCATCTACTTTGAAAATAGATCGCCAAAGGTTGGGACTATCCGGTCAAAAAACGAACATCATCATCCTCAACTTCCTGTCCATTAACTGGATTCTTTCAAAATTGCCGCGGACTGAGAACAAAACTTTCAACTTTTAAACGTAATGTATCTGCTTTAAATTATTCTTTCATTATCCTTACTGAAACTTGATTGTCAGAAAATGTTCTAAATTGTGAACTTGGATTACTTAATTATAATGTATATAGATATGATCTCTGTAACTTACTAGTTTATGTACCAGAGGTGGTGGTGTCCTTATTGGTATACGAAAAGACATACGATCTAGTCTTATAAGTATTTCAAACATGAGTGTTGAACAAATTTATGTACGTTGCACAATTGGTCTGAATTCTTTTGTGATTGGAGGTGTATATATACCTCCTAATTCTCTTTCTAATATCTATCACATGCATTCCCAGACCATTGAATCTCCGGTTCAAAATTACCCTTTTTATAAGTTCATCATTTGCGGTGATTATAATGGCTGTAATACGATTTAGAACGTTCTACCTTTTTTAGCGTACGATTGAGATCACTCGAAATGGAACAATGAAATAACCGCTGACCCAATGAAACAGTACTATTGAGAACGAAATTAAGTGCAACGTTGCCGAACTATATTCAAGTCAAAATAAAAATGAAATAAAACATTGAATAAAATAATTAAAAATTATAAATTTTAAAAATGTCAGTTTTTAAAAAAAATTTGTATTATTGGTACCTACCAATAATACAAACATTTAAAAATAATTTACAATTTAATTCCAATATATAAATTTCCCAGATGTTTTAAATATTTTATTAATCCTTCAGAAGATTTTTTTGAAATTTTTTCTTCATCTGCTTTTGATGCATTTTGAACAGTGCCCTGTTGAATAGTATTGAGTTTTAAAGACGTTTATTCCTGCCACATAGACAGTGTGTGAGCAGTGCTAAGAGTCATATATATTTATACAGGCTATAGCCATAGCCGATTTTTAAATGGCAAAGTTTGGCAACGTTGGGCGGAAAAATAAAAACTGAGCGTTCTCAATCGTAATAGTCAAAAGGGTCTAAAAAAGGTATCGCCAATAATGACCATTCTCAATCGTATTCTTGCCATTATAATTCACCTGAAATTTTATGGGACAATGATGATTGTGGTCTTAATTACTCATTCACTTCTAATAGTCGTGCAGCTTGTATACCCGGAACGTTTGCTTCTAATTGTTTTTTCTAAAATAATAAAAATTTGAATAGTTATGGATCAATCCTAGATCTATTTTTTTGTAATATTCCTTTCTTAGTTGATAAATCCCTGGAACCAGTAGTCCCTATTGACCCATACCACCCTCCGTTGAACTTAACTCTTCCTTATTCTGATCATACAAATTCTTTAGATAACCGTCACTCTTTTTATAATTTTCGTAAAACTAATTACTCTAACGTAACCTCGTTTATTGGAAGTTATGATTGGAATACTACTCTATCTACCCTCGATCTTGAGACAGCTTTCAATACCTTATTCGATGCCTTACATTTAAGTATTTTAAATTTTGTACCCAAAAGTAACTTTTGGAGTACTAACCTACCCACCATGGTTTAATTCAGAATTAAAACATATCAACATACAGAAGAAAAAAGCACATGTTGAGTATAAATCTAATCCTAATGGTCAAAACTATACTAATTTTTCGTTGCTACGTGCTCGTTTCAAATATATGTCCAAAAAGTGTTTTAATGAATATAACAAACATGTAGAATCTTCATTAACAAATAACCCTAGTGACTTTTAGAAATATGTTAAAAAAAATCGTGCAAGTAATGGTATGCCTATGGAAATTTTTCACAATGGTTATGTTTCGTCTAATAAAACTGAAATTGCTGATATGTGTGCTGATATGTTTTCTTCGGTGTACACAACGAATAATATTAATACTGAAGTACTGATGACAGTGAACGTGACGTTCCATGGGCTGCTATGGTTTCAACTGTTGTAGATGATGGTGCCGGGGGTGTGTTCACGTTACTATTGTCTACCGTGGATTCAGGTAAATGCAACAACGTATGGTGTTTCGCTTGACAACTCGACGACAGTGATGATATGACTGTAGCAGCTTGTCCTACTACACTTGTTTTCAAATAGTACATTTTTCGGTGTTGTTTATGTATTTGTTTTTATGTACCATTGTTTCAAATTGATCCTTAAATGAATACCATTCTTCTAAATTACCTCCAAATTGTGGTAAGTTGATTGGTGGTAGCCGAATGTTGTGTTGAACAGTTTGTCTGTTGTCACCGAAAAATAAACTAATTATTATTATTATCGTATGTTATATAAGTACAAGCACGCAAATAAAATTAGTAAAATTAAAAATAAACAAATAAATAAAAATAAAAATAAATAAATAACATGAATGGTTTTTGGTAACTGTGAATTGATAAAATATAGTGGTATGTTCTTCTTTAAAGTATAATGTCGAGGGCTTTGATCCAATTAATAGCTTCATCCGTAGCGTGGTGAAGTTCCCGCATTGATCCTTTAAATGCGCGGAGGGGACAGTCTTTTATTATATGATGGATGGTCTGAGAGGGATGCCCACAGTCGCAATCTGGGTGGTCTGCCATTTTCCATTTGTGGAGTAGCTCTTTACAGCGCCCATGTCCAGTGCGAAGTCGATTTAACACGACCCATTCTCGTCGAGGTAGTTGATGTATTGTGGGAGTCCGGATTAGATTTTTCCCATTCTGATTTCCAATCAGCTAGGCCATCGTAGCGGTCCGCAATAAGTTTCCTCAATAGGAACTTCTCGATGTAACATCTATGTGTTATAGCAGAAATGAAAATTCCTTTTACAAACATCCACGTGACTGCAAAAAATGTATATCTAATTGCTGTTTATTTGTTACTTCATATAGTTATTTAATACAATATTATCTTGACGTTACAACAATCTAATGTCTTACGGACATCAAATTGTAACATCAACGGGAAGTTTTTTTGTTACATATTTTAGTATTTATATATAACTTGAAAAATATTATGTAGCGTTTATAAATAGAACATCTGCTGATTGATATCACATATATGTCTATTAGTTGACATATTTATACCAAACATCACATTTGGAAATTAAATAGACTACTATGTGAAGTTTATTGATTTATTATTACAATACGTATAATGCTGATTAAAATTCGGAATTAGGATTTGTCATTCATGATCGACGACCGCGTCCCGTGTGTTGTAATTTGTTTTAACCTGCAGTGATTTTACATTATTTTTACATTGTGAGCTGTGCCGTGCCGTGCCGTAAATCGTAATATTGTCGTCTGTATTTAATATTTATTGGCATATGCTTTTTTCATTTAAATTAATTTTAAATCAACTCGATAGCGGAGGCCTGAAATCCTGAGACGGTGTCATAGTGTCAGTAGCCCGAGCGTACCTACCTGCTTATATAGTGTTATTACCTATTATTACTATGGACTCTTCACAAAGAACAGTAAGTATACTAAGCAAATTATTAATAATTTTATTATATTATTATAATATATTTTACTGCAGAATTGGTCTGGCTCATTTTTAACGTATATAATATTTACACCTTATTTACATAAGTTTTTAATTGTATATACCTATTACTTCTTAAGTACTCATCACCTAGGTACACTACAAGCATGACCTTATAGAGATAAGCAAACACATATAAAAAATTTACCTATATGTAACAATGCTTTATTGCCAAAAAAAAAAAAAATAATAAATTTAAAAATAAAAAAATAAATAAAAATGTGTTGAATCTAATCTATATTCTAGGTATATTAATTTATTAGTAGTATAAATACTAAAGCTATATTAAATATATATTTGAAAATAAATATAGGTATTCATAGCTCAGCGTAGAATAAATAAAAATCAAGTTTTTAAATTATTAATTAATAACTCCTTATTTTTGATACAATTATATAAGAACTATTTACTATTCTAAGTTGGATTACTGTAATAAATATAAAAATTCAACAACAATTAGTTTGGTATTAAAAATTAAAAGTTGAACAATAACATTAATAATATTTCTTGTAATTTATTTCTTATTCAATCGACATATTTGTAGATAGCAGTAATGATGATGTACCAATAAAAGTTATGAAAAAACAAGACAAAAAAAAAAGTGTAGCAACTAGCTCAATTATTGATATCCCAGAAGTGTCTTATAATTTCAGCATTGAATCAAATTCAAATATGTCATTGGGATCCATGTCTTCTGCTAGTAACTATATATATCTATCTATTTTGAATTACCCATTTGTATAGATTAATGATAAATTGTTATAAAATTAAATATCCAAAATTCCAAACAATTTTTAACTGTATTTTTATATTATATTGTTCTGTGCTAATACAGAACATTATAGCTTATAGAGAAATATTGGGTATTATTCAATATACAATCATATAGAAGGGTCGTGTGTGATATTGTTATTACCTACTTAATAACTTAAATCAGTTTAATTTTTATTTTTAGCCAAAAATAATGATGAATATTCTAAACCATGTGAAACCAAAACTTTAGTTTCTACCTCATCAAATATCAACCAAAATATTTTGTATGACATTGATCAGAGTTCAAACATTTCTCCTGCACCCTTGGAACAAATTCCTAGCAGTGGCGCTTATATGTTATGTAAGTATTATCTTAAAAAATTATTTATATCACTATAATTAAGTAAATACATTTATCTATTGTGCAACTACAAAAAAACCTTTTTTTAAAACATTGTTTAGCAGCAATGATCACATTACTAAATATGAACGAACAAAATGTAAATGATTATCAGTCTGGATGTCTTAACTATTCTGAAAACACAAACACAGTTCCAATTTCACAATTTTCAACACCTCGTCCAATATTATCTGCCTCAGCTATACTTAGAAATGATGCTAAAAAATGTTCTGTTAATATTGGTAAGTTGTGGTTATGTTTTAATTTAAAGGTGTTTTTTTTTTAAAATGTATTTATGCCCTGTTTTAACTGTCATATTTAAATTTAAAAAATACATGTACTAATTTTACTTTTATCATTACATTTAGTAGGTAGTATAAGTATTTAAAAATAAATTATATTTTTATTACAGATACTGATCAGACAAACATATTAAAACTTATTTACGAACAAGGTATTGAGACAAATTCATATTTAAAACGACTGGATGGAAGAATGGATCGTCTAGAACAAACAATAAAAAAGATGTCTGGTACCCAGAATAATAATAATTATGCTATAGATAATGCATTTTTATCTATATTCCCTTTGAAAGACATTGACTCTTTGAAAGAGTTTGACATTCGCATAACAAATGATCCAGATTTTAAACTCAATGTGGTAAGAATATTAAATATTTTTAATTTTGTTTTATCAATTTGCATCTCATATATGATGGTCAATATGTTAAAAGAAAAAAATTGTTTTGGTTAGGTACCTACTTTATTATTTACTAACGCATACATTATTTTAAGTAAAGTCCTTTTAAAGACATGGAAATTACAATTTTTTCAGACAACTTTTATGACTAGAATAGGAGGTACTGATGTCAAGAATTTTATTAAACGTGTGTTGCAAAGAATAATTAGTAACGAACTGTCTTCTAAATGTTCATGGACAGGGTTTCGTAATAACTTCAGACTTGAAAATATTTTGTTTATATGAGTATCATGAAAGGTACATATTCTAAATATTGCTTTTAATAACTTGTGTCAAGTTTCTATTTTTGTTTGTTTATTTATGTTCTAGACTTATCAAGGGAAAAATTTAACTCATCAGATATTGATTTTGAGTTGCATATTAAAGACTGGTTTCGACATGGAACACAGCGATTTATTAGAGATCAACAAAATAAATTATAATTTTTCCAATAAGTCTTATCGTTAAAAGTAAACAACAGTATAATCTTATATTTATTTAATTAATATTAATTTGTATAGTTTAGTATATGTATATAGTTTTTATACAACTAAAATATTTTTAAGATAATATTCAGTAAATAATTATAAATAGGTACCTACCTACTTAAAATATAATATAATATTGACCTGCTATAACTTTTTTGAGTGATTGTAGAATTTATATTTTGTTTGAATAATATTTAAATTTATAGATAACATTTTCTGTTATAGTTGAAAAAAAGAAAACCTTTTCATGCTATGTCCAAAAGAAATTTCAAGCGATGTCTTGAAGCTGATAAGAAAACAGCTAACTTAAATTTTAATAATAAATCAAATCTTCTGAACCAAACTACTAACTGTGAGTATTTTGATGTGTCACAAGATCAGTATTCTACAAATGTGTGTAACCCATTAACTGCTCAAACTACTCAAACTACAATGTATCCTAGTTTACAAGACAATTTGAATCAATCCAATGAATTCACTGCAGTATGCTTTACCAATTCTCCAATTGAACCTATTAGTTCTGAAAATATTACTCTTAAGGATAAATTGCGGCAATTAATTTGTGACTATCATATTTCACATAACTGTGTAAATAAACTTTTGGAAATTCTTAGATCTGAAGGACTTGATTTGCCAAAAGATGTAAGAACTCTATTTCAAACCCCAAAAAATCACTCAATAATAAATGTTCATACAGGTACATATATTCATATTGGTATAGAGTTTATGATTACACCTATTTTACTTGCACATGTCGAACAACTTAAAAATACTACAGACATACACAATTGGGAGTAAATATTGATGGAATGCCAATTTCTAGAAGCTCTAAATCAAATTTATGGCCAATTTTAATTTCAATAGTAAATATTCCAATATTATCAAAATATGTTATGCCGGTTGGAATATATTATGCTAGATTTAAAAAACCAGAATCATTTTTTGAATATTTAGACTCTTTTATGACTGAAATGAAAAGTATTATTTCTAATGGCCTATGTTTAAATGGTAAAATTTACAATTTTTTTATAAGCCAAATAATTTGTGATGCTCCAGCAAAGGCATTCATGTTAAATGTTAAATCTTTTAATGCCTATCATAGTTGTAATTATTGTATTGAAGAAGGCACGTTTATTAATGGTAGGTTGTCATTTTTAGGAGTATCCTCTCCTTTAAGAACTGACGATTCATTTAGGTCAAAAGAAGATGAGGATTACCATAAAGGATCTAGTCCTTTAGAATGTTTTCCAATTAATATAGTATCAACTGTTGTTCTAGACTATATGCATTGTGTCTGTCTTGGGGTCATGAAACGTTTACTTACTTTTTGGGTAAAAGGAAAAAAACCTATTAGGTTTAAAAGTCCTGAAATAGTGTCTGATATTTCTTCACAACTGATTGACATAAAACCATACTTTCCTTCAGAGTTTAATAGATTACCGCGAAGTTTGGATGAATTAGAATTTTTTAAAGCTACAGAATTCAGGACCTTTCTTTTGTATACATCTTTAATTGTATTAAAAGGAAGATTAGCAAAACCATTTTTTCAACATTTTATGTTATTTCATTGTGCCATAAAAATTTTAATAAGTAATGATTTGTATATCACACATAATACTATAGCCAAAAATTTACTTATTTCATTTGTCTCTCAATATCCTACCTTATACGGTTATGAATATGTTACATATAATGTACATGGATTAATTCATTTGGCTGACTTCACACTTCAACATGGTCCTCTTGACAAGTTTAGTGCATTTAAATATGAAAACTGTTTACAAATTATCAAAAAACTGTTAAAAATGCCAGGTATCCACTACAAGATGTATACAATAGAGTAGTTGAATTTCAAAACGTTCAAATTAAAATTGCCCCAAATTATCCTATACTGAATAACGAAATAGACTATGACCATAGACTATACTACAGAGATCCTACAGTAACTTTATATGAGCAAGTTATTCTTGATAAATTTGTTGTCAGTACAAATAATATTCGTAATGAATATTTTATTTTAGATAACAACGAAATTGTACAAATTCAAAAAATTGGTAAACGCCAAGATGGCTCCATTTTTCTAGAAGTTATAAAATACAATAATTTAACTATAATGTTTGAAACACCAATTTTATCTACTGTTGTAGGCTCATTTTATGTCGACCTTACATCTGTATCAAATTCTTTTTATACAAATATTTTTATACCTATATCTGATACAAAGGCAGTTGCCTTATTAGTATTACACACATAGGTAACCTCATTATTATAACATAATTATTATTATTATATTATTATAATTATCATTATTATTATTTTTATTATTATTATTATTATTATTATTATTATTATTATTAATATTATTATATTAATATGTACTTTTATTATAAATTGAATACAAATACATTTTTGTGTTTTTATGCAAAGGAAATTGCCTCATTGTCATTAATATTTAATTTTTTTTAATTATATGTATGTATATTATGTTATTAAGTATAAATATTTTTTTTTGTAATAACAAATAAAAGTTTAATGTTTTAACAATTTTTAATTACATTTCTTATTTCCTACATAATGATAAAATAACAATTACTAACACAAGGGATAAAATAAATATAAGGATATTATTGTTCGAACATTGTGGTTCCTCAACAACTAAAAAAGAAAATTTGAAATTTTGTTTACATGTTTTCACCACTTTATTGTACTATGGCTTCCTTTCCACAATATGTATACATTCAAAAATAATTAAAGGTAATTTCCCTAATTATTATAAATACTATTACCAGCAATATAAACAACTTAATATATATGTATAATAACATTTCTATAAAACTATTATAGAATTATTAGGATTGATCTAAAAGCTGTTTTTTGCTACCAATAGCAACACTACCATTAAATCTTAGGAGAGTAAATTCTTGTCTATGGCCCCACCTTAGCATTATACAAAAGGTAAAATATTCTTTTAGGTGGGACTAGAAGTAATAAGTTTGGGGGGGCTAAGCCCCATGGACCCCCTAGTTGCACTTATGCTAACTACTAATCAACATAAATTTCAAACTACTTAAAGTAGTTGCAGTGTTAATATTTTAATAATAAAAGTCTGTACTTTCTCAGAGAAGTCTATGTGAAGTAAATATAGCCGGTTAATTAAGCACATAAGAGAGTTTATTATTATATATTTGCGATGATACATAGAAGTTTAAGTTTTGTTTATTAATTATTAAAAGATGTAAATATACATCCAAAAGAAGTTGAATGAGAAGATATTTGCGAAGTCCTATAGACATCCCATTTTAACATCCCATTTATAACATCACTCAACCTGGCGTTTGGCATCCGAGAGATATCTCTGAGATAGCGTGAGGCTCTAGTTTATAACTTCTCATGTTACAAGGTAATAACTATGAGAAGTCTATTCTTCATCTATTGTTTTATTTTGTTGAATAGCTAAAACAACTTTATCCACAGTTGGTATTTGTCTTAATTTTTTTCTCGGCGGTTCACTGCTTAATGTTTCAGAAGCAACATTTGAAAGTGTTTCATTATTTGTTGCATAATTTTTAACACCTGTAGAAGAAACAGTAGCAATTGGTTTCATATATGGTTTTGTTCCAATAACAGAGTCCATAGTATTAAAATACATCCATGTTCTAGGACCATTTCCTGATTTATAATTATGACCTTTGATCGATTTATAGGTTCTCTTTAAGCCTGAAAATTTGCTAAGACACTGGGGTCCAGTGACAACATATCCTTTTGTTAACAGTGAATCAGATACTGCTTGCCATGTTTTTTTCTGGGAAACTTTTCCAGAACAAAAATCATCTGCTCTTTTCAGATACTCTTCAATCAGTAAAAGAATGGCTTCATTTGGCCATTTAAATGCACCAGTTAATTCATTATCATCAGTAGTAGTAGATTGTAGATTCATAGTAGATTCATTATTTGAAACATTCATATTGTTTATAATAGTGTTGGCTTTTAGGTAAGCTATTTTTTCCAATAAATATGTTTGATCTGTAAGTACTGAAATTAAATTTGAGTCAATAACTGAACATTTAAACCTAAATAATTAACTTAGTTAATTTGTGCAAATAGACAGCAAATTTGTGTCTATGCAATATAACTGAACATACCGTTCACTGATTTTTCTCTAGTATAACAAAACCAAGTACCTATTATTAATATAATTAATTACCACTATTTCCTCGATCAATTTCTTCAGCCGTCATCATACACGTATATTCAACACCGGAATCATCTAATAACGTCACTTCTACTTCTGGTTCAGACATTTTGAGTAAAAGTATAAGAATAACAGCTAAAAAATTTAATATAAGTATTAAAAACGTATTAATAGTTGTGAATGTGAAACGGTTGTGAATGTTGTGAATGTGAAACGGTTATCGTCAAATTAATTTTGTTATCTCTTATCATTTCACATTTGAGCGTTCGTCTTGGGAAATAGCGCTCACGCTTTCACTGCACTACCTCGATTTGTTAAGCGACCGTGAGCGTCAACTCATGACGTACCACCTATTTTCCGTGACGTCACGGTTGTAGTCTGAGCGTTTCATAGCGCCAAGACGAACGACGCGACAGCGCTTATAAGCGCTTAAAGCGTTCAAAGCGCCCATGTCGAACGCACCCGATGTCATAAACATGTATGCTAGTCAGAAAGAAAGAGTAATTTAACTTATATATAAAACTTAATAGTATTTTTATTTTTAAGCTATGTGTAGTGTGTACATTATTTTGTTATTTTTATTAGAAAAACTTATATAGTCGGTAAAGAAATTGATGATCAAATATTTTATCTATAAGATTTATGTATTAATTTATAACATAAAACAAGAAAGTCACTTGTCTTATTTGTTATACTTACTAAATGTTGTCAATTGGTTTTTAATAATTAAAAATATTTTATTGATTTATTGAATCTTTTTTTTTAAATTTAAATTAATTATTATTAACTTGTTATTTTATTTTTTATTATACCTACTAGAAAGTACTAGTTATATACAATTATATCAATTAGTATACAGATCACAGATTATTTACTTTTGGTTTTATTTCTTGTTAAATAGTGTCAGGGGGTGTGGGGGGCGAAGCCCCCCACGGGTCACTCAAGTGAAATTATTTATCGCCTCCTCAGAAAATTATTGCCAAAACCGCCACTGATACAAGGTACGTACCTATATGCATTATCCGTCTATAGGTGTATTACCTTATTATATACGCGCTCCCGTAAGCATACCCTCATCGTCGTCTTCATCCAAGACGTCATCTTCATCCACCACATCATCATCACTCAATCGCTTTCACTCTAGGATCCGTCCATCGGTGGTACCGTGAGTTGGCTATATGCCATACATTGTTTTATGTTATTTATTATACATTATTATTTATTATACTTGTCTTTATTATTATTACGTCACTAACATACATTTAAGTATATTATATTTTGTATCGCAGTCATTGTACGCGAATTCGTATTATTATAATTATTATACGTTATTCATTATTTAGTAGATACGATATATTTTCATTTGCGTTCTTACAAACTACAATTGTATTAATGGTTACCTCATACCGGATAAAATCACGTAACCAATATCCAACGTAAATATACGAAGGATTGGTACGTAACACTCATTAAAAATCAATTTTTACTTTTTTGCCACATAGTTAATTTTAACTTAATCGTTTAAATAATTATTTTTTGTTCAAAAAAAAAAAAGTGGGGAAATTGATAGGTATATTAATGAATGAATTATAAAATAATATGTATCAGTTGTATTAAACATATGGCATAGATGTATAATATTTATTATTTTATATTACCTCAACAATTAAGTTTCGTATTTTCAAATGATGATCTTCTGTCCCGGTTATCCAGTAAGATAAAGACCTATAGAGACAATTACCATCACCAATAATATTTACGATTTTTGTTGGCTCTCCAAAAATTTTTCCACGGTATTTATAAATCAAATTCTTTTCTATTTTAAGATTTAAAATCTTGTTTTGTCTCAACTGCCATGGCTTCGTCACGGGATTAAATACTCGTTTATCCTTCAACTCATTCAGTTTTGATTTGGTATATTCAATAGCCTTCACGTCTTGAAAATTATCGACATCTTTAAAACTGTCAGTGCCGCTACTTTTGCTTCCAGACTTGTCAGCATCATATTTTTCTTCCGTTTTATTTTCCATCTTTTCATTGTGCATTTTTAAATTTTTCAAATGAATTTTTTTTTTCAAGACTTTGAACTCATTTTTGAGTACACATGTATTGCCAGAGTGAATAGATACTATTTCATATGGACCATTCCACGGTATCTGACGCCAACCACCTTTCCGATCATTCCTACACAAGTTTCTGACGAAAACTTTATCACCTTCTTGGAATATGTGACCCGTATTATGACGTTTAGAATAAGAATAACGTTGACGTGTTTGTGCTTCATCTATATTTTTTTTCGCTTTTTCTTCCATTATATTCCTCATGACGATCATTTGATTTAGTGTAGTTTTAAATTTTTCTTGATCAAATAAATCTAAATCATTATCTTGATGGTCTGAGTCATACTGATTACTATTGGTTGTTACAGAATTTTTATCTTTATCGTCATAATTAATATCAATAGGTAGCATAGCATCACGTTGATATAACATTTTAAATGGCGTGTATCCAGTGGAAGAATGCTGTGCCGTTCTATGTGCAAATAAGACACCTTGTAAAATATATGGCCATTGCATTACATTCACCTGCAATACTTTCAACAAACAATTTTTAATTGTACGGTTTTGACGTTCAACCAGACCGTTCAGACCGTTGGCTTGCGGATGATACTCCGATGTAACTCGTTGTTCAGTCCCTGTGAGACGAAATAGCTCGTCGTTCAAGTTATTTACAAATTCTCTCCCCTGGTCGCTAATTTGTATTTTTGGACATCCATGGCGGCATATTATTTCGTCATACAAAAACCGTGCAACAGTTACTGCCGATTTGTCTTTTATAGGTCTGGCTTCTGACCATTTTGAAAAATAATCTATACCAACAACAACATATTTGAACCCATTAACTTCTGGTAAAGTCATGATGTCAACTCCAATTTGATTAAAAACCTAATTTAAAAAAAAATGTTTGTATTTTTTTATGATAAAAGTTGATTATTTATATTATAAATATAAAATATATCAACAACTTATACTAACTATACTTGAATCAATATAAGTCATACAAGTCATAGATAATTAACAAAATATATTTTGATGTACAAATAAAATAAAATAATTCGTAACCCGTGAAGTCACTCTGCTCTATAATAATGGCCAATGGGTGTCGACTGTCGAGTGTACCTTATCATTGGGTAGGATATATTAAATTTGAAATCAATGATATACTATACATAACGATTTTATATGTAGATGGTCTATCAGTCTAGATTTTTTTTTCTTATAATATATTAATATTACTATAAGCATAGGCGTGCGCACGGGGTCTTCTAAAATGTGTGCTTACCTTACATTTTTGATTAAAAATTGTTTATCCATTTAAAACTGATAACCAGTCAATCATTATCGAGTGTAAATTTATTTTGTATCATAATATATGTATAATAATATTATGTGGGACGGAGTGGCCGAGCGGGCTAAGGCGTTGGTTGCGACGCACACCAACGCCGGTTTTATATCTCGGCCATGGGTGGCATTTTTCTTTGGGCAAGTCACTAGTGATGGTAAGAAATAGCAGTAGCAGCTTTAATAGCACTGCTATTTTACTATAGCAATCGCAGACTGCTATTTAGTGTTAATAATAGCAGTGATTGCTAAAATTTGTATAGTAAGTTTTAGTATCTTGTGTTTTCCTACACTGTTCATTGTTATTATTTTATTTCTCCAATAGCTGCTATCATCGACTATCAAGGTATAAAAATATTAAATAAAACTGCTACTGCAACTATATTTTATAATTTAGCAGCTGCTGCTGCTGCTGCTATTTAGCAGCTGCTGCTAATTTGTTATAAAATAGCAACTTTAGAATTGTGTTTTTACTTTTTTTGTTTTTAATCATTTATGTGTTACTTATCACTCGCCATGCAAGCTCTATAATATATTTTTCTCTATGGCCTAGATGAATATGAAATAATATACGTCATATCAATAGTATAATATTAATTATCAATATTCAATATTATAATATAATTTCAAATTTCAATATTCAGTACTCAATAGTGCAATATTCTCATTGTCTCAGTAGTTATTAGTTATTAATTATTCGACAATTTGACATAGTAGCCAGTAGGTACCTACGACTTAACGATTTTACCTAACTTTACTGTTTACTGTTTAGTATTTACTGACTGTAAGTACTATACTGTTATATTATGTACTTATAATTTTTTACTGGCCACTAGAATCTGTGGAATGTGGATACTGAATAGTTTTGAACTGTGGACTGATGTAAATAAAAATGAATATACAATGTACGCGAGATAAAAAATGGTGAGTAGATACAACTAAATTTATAATAAAGAATTAAATTAACTAACTTAATTTTATAATCTTCAAAATAAATTATATACAATCTGCATATAAAAACGTAAAATAATAATCATTCTTATGAATTTTGATTTAAAAAAAGGAGCATTTCAACTTTCTTGCTACTAAGTCTACTTCGGCGGTCACTGATGAGTAAACCAGCTTTAGAGAACACGCGTTCACAGGGCACTGATGTACCAAGACAGCAAAGTGTTCTCCTGGCAAGCTGACTCAAATATGGATAATTATGTTTATTATCCATCCACCATTTTAATGCATCAGTGTGGCGGTTCTGTACGTCATCTTCTAAGTACCTTTGTACCTCTATAATAGCCCTTGATGTATTGGTCCCTGTAGGTTGAATTTGGGACACTTTTGAATCGATGGAACTCCAAATTGAAAACCCTTGTTCATTTTCTGAAGCAGTAGTAGTCTGTAAAGTACGTTGCACCTCATTGTCTGATCTATTGGCTGATATAATTGATGCAGTTCTTTCTATAATGTCACTTTTAATTATTTGTAGGTGATTTTCATTGAACGGAATGTTTTTGAATCGTGGATCGAGGAATGTACAACGGACTAGTGTATGACTACCAATAATGTTACCCCAGCGATCTCTATCATTCATTCCAGATAATAATTTATTTAAAACATTGTTTACTCTTTGATGGTAATTTTCTTTTTGTAGTTTGCTGCATACATTTTTAAGTCCTTCAGCTAAGACTATAACTAAAGAAGCTGTCATGTATTTATCTCCACTTACAGCTTTTGTTGCCTCTTCAAACGGACGTAACACTATACACAGTTCTCTAGTTACTTTCCACTCATCTACTGTTAAGCCTTCAGGAGGATTATCTAGTAAGCCAAGAGTTCCACGAATAGAACTTTCAAGTTCAACCAACCGCTCGATCATGTACAGAGTTGAGTTCCAGCGGGTACTCACGTCTTGAAGTAACTTTTTTGGTTCTTTTGCCCCGTTACTTATTTGATAGTTGTTTAACTTTTTATTTGCAGATGTACTCTTTCTGAAATGTGTGACAATTGTTTTAATCTTTTCTAAAAGGTTAGATTCGATTGTGAGAGCCCCTTGAACGATCAAATTTAACGTGTGAGCAAAGCATCCAAAATGCTTTAACTCAAGGATAGATAAAGCTCTCTTTATATTATTTGCGTTATCGGATACTGCAAAAGTAATTTTGTGTGTTAAATCCCATTCTTCTAATGTCGATTTTATTTGGTTACTTAAATTTATACTTGTGTGGTTTTCAGAGAATTCATGACAACCTAATAAAACAGATTTAAGACCAAAATTGTTGTCAATAAAATGAAATGTTATAGCGATGTAACCCATGTTACTTCTGGATGTCCAGCAATCAGTTGTAATGCAACCACTCACAGCTTCAGTTTTAATTATTTCCTTTGTTTCAATTAAACATTTTTGGTACAACGCAGGTATGTGAACTTTGGACAATGTATGGCGGTTTGGTATTTTGTATGAAGGATTTAGGAGATGAACAAAATGCCTAAAACCTTCATCTTCAACTATTTTGAATGGTTGAAAATCTTTAGTGATCATTTGGATAAGGGCGTCGTCAATTTTCTTCTGTGTGTCGAATGTCATTTTTCTTGGTACGTATTCTGAAATATTAGTTTGTTTTCTTTTGCGGATATTAGCTATTGAATTTTGAATAGATGTTGATGAAGTTGGATCTTGAAAAGATGTTGATGGAGTTGTATTTTGTATATCTGTAGTTGGAGTTGTATTTGGTACCATATTTGAAGAAGATGCGGGAAATTGATCATTAGACGTTTGACCAGGATCATCAACGATTTCTTCGTTAACTTTGTTCGACTACAGAAAAATAAACTTATTTAATAATACTGTTTAGTGTATCAGTATAAGTAATATACGTATGTATATATACTTACTATACTTTATTTAAAAAATTTAAAATGAACTTACCTGGTTTTCTGCACTTACTGCAATCCAATGTACGTTAGAATAATGCGTTTTTAAATTTGTAAGGCTAGTTTTAAACGAATATTTTTTTTTACAAATCATACATCTAGCATATGTAGAGTTTTCAATGACAGTGAAATGAGACCAAATATCACTTGTCTTGTATTGTCATATGCTCATATTGATATATTAAATATATTAAAATCACTTAACATACAAATTAACAGATCAACTAGTATATCAGAGTTTAGCACAGGCCACAGACAACACAATGTTCGACTATGATGTACTGTGGTAAAATGTGCTTAATTATTTAAATGCCTACATGAATTGTTTTGTAGACATTTGGACAATAGACATTGTTGGTATTTGTAGGAACATGTAAATTCTTGCAAAGAAATGGTTTATTATTGTTTACATTTATTATAACTATACTATGTAGGTATAATATACAAATGACTATATCCACATAAGACTTAATAAAACAATATAATATAATATATTATAAAATATATAATTTTATTCCTTGTATTATATTATATGATTTAACTTTTTATTAACCATGTCCATATCAACAGTACCTAGTTTTAACTCACCTTATGGTGGTGATTAAACATTAATTAATTAACTTCTTTTTAACTGAGTTAAGCATTTTAGTATTTAATAAATTGTTTATTAACTATTAACTTAACTTACTGAAATAATGTTTCTCATAAATTTGCCCACCTTTGATAATGACAAAATTCAATAAGATTCTTGTCCTCAAAACTTACTACTCTTAAATAAGTCTTGTAAAGTACCTATTTGAGTAAACGTATTTAAATACTTTTATAGGTAGTTTATGGAATACTGTATTCAGTATTGGACAAATTTGTATTTGTAATTCAAATGCTTTTGTGTAAATACTTAAAAATTCAAAACAATTATTATTCATCAGTCGTCAGGTATCAGATTTTTTTTGAAAATAATTTTATTATTTTATTTATAATATCAATATAATTATAATATTATATTTTGTTCACTCATAAATTTTGAGAGCTCCTATTGACGATTACTTTCTTATGATTATTACAAATAATATACTGATTTCTGATACCTCTGTCCTCTATAGAAACCCAGTACACTTGTTAATCAATTAAAATCAATTTTGAAAATTGAATATACCTCTTAAAATAATAATGTCTCACCTAGTAAAATAATTAAATTAATTTCTGTTTTTATTAACAACTGTTTAATTACCAAAGAATAAAGTATTTCAAAATTATTATAAAACAAGTTTTATTTTCATTTTTTAGTATAAATTTAAGTAGGAGTACAACCTCCATTTACCTTTAGTACCTAATTAGATGTAACATTATACTATTTTAAATTAGTAATACAAAAATAATTTTACAAACAGACTTTTATTAAGTAAAATAAAAAAAGTATTTAAATATATGGCAAGTATATTTTGTATTTGTACTTAAATTCTAAATCAATAATGTACATTATAATATAATATTATTATACATATTATTATTATACATTATATGTTAAGTAAAAACATTTTAAATTTGGTAATTTATTCAATAAAATTTAAAAATTTTCTCAAAATAAA